AAATAATTCTTTCCAACTTCTGTTTTTCAGTCTTTTTGTATACCCTTTCATATATTTCCATAATGGAAAATATCAATTTTTTAAATTGATAGTTTTTCATTCCTATAAATTTTGTTACTCTATGAAGAACTCTTGTGGTCAATATTTATTGAGTTTGCAGCACATGTTCTACGTTTAGATAGGTTTTTTTGTCTCCTTTTCTTGGACAGCTATTGAGTTCTCATCAGTTCTCATTTTTGGTTTCATTTTGCAATGGTCTGTTCAACTGGGAAGTGGTTTCTCCTTTGGGTGTTTGTGCATTTTGGTCCTTGTTCTCATAAGGTTCTTTTTCCCTCAGAAGGCTTTATATTTGTATTATTCTATGGAATGGGCAACTTTTTGAGAGAAAGAACTGTAGAAATGGAAAAATGAAGTGAGGACATCATCCATTAATTTTGGGTGGAAATCTTGAATTCAAAATTTTGAAGGGTGTTTTTTCCACTGCATTTTTTTGAAGGGTGAATTTGCTCAAACTGAACAATTTTGGAGATTATTCTTCAACTTTGGTGTCATTTTATCTCCATGCTTTTTTAACCTAGCAGGCTGGCACTGCTTTTCTAATTTACCATTCTGTGGTTACTTGATGATATAGGTTATATTTCCAAGCTTTGGAGACAGGAAAATTCCTACTGTTCTTTTTAATTCTATACATGAAGAGGTTCAGAAAATGCAAAAAAGTTGATGTAAATTTACTCTTTCTAGATTGGTTCTACCATAGAAATTCGTTCTCAGATTTTCAGATGGTAACTAGCTGCTATATTTCCTGTTAGGTGAATTTAAATAGCTTTTGTTGGACAGTTTATCAAGTTGGTATCTTGACAATGCAACCCATTTTCTTCTGCCAGGTGCAATTGTCATAGGATGCATCTACTCTTTGACAGGTAATGCTTGCTGTTCCAGAGATTCTATTTCAGCATGTTTGTGCATAAGAGGTTTCTCTAGATGAGTGGGTTCCCTCATTCTTTGACCTTATTTTCCAAATCCAAATGCTTTGGTACATTTGCAGCGCATATTATGTCACTGCATTCTGAATTGTACCAAATATTGGTAAAAACTCAAGTGCTAATAGGGGGATTTGGCCCTAGGAATGGCACTGGGGTTTTTTTTGGGGTGGGGGGGTGTTGTTTGTGTGGGGTGGGGTCGGGAGGGGGAGGTTCATTCTGCCCCCCATCCTCACCATCCTCACCAACCTTGGTTACCATCCCCATGGAGAATTTTTGCTGGTGGGAAATTCTTCTCCCTCTCCCCATTGCTGTGCCAAATGAGAACAGGGACCCTGTGGGTTTCCCCATCCCTGCCTAATTCTTATAAGGAAAATTTTTAATAAATTTAAGAATAATTCATTATATGTGAAAAAAAATTACTCACCAAGTAACAGTTTGATTATTACTATATAAGAAAAAATGAAAAAAAAGGTTCAGTGACGTGTAAAAGAAATTGGTAGCTGGGTTCTATATACTTGGGGGCTAGCACTGTGGCACATCAACAAAACATAACAGTATTAGGGTTCAAAGAATAGTGTCTTAGTGATGCTTTATGGCACTTAGTTTCTTAGATTATATGATTAAAAAGAGCAAGAAGAAACAAAAAGATTAGAGCATGGTAACTTGTGAACGTAGAAGAGGTAAAGATTACATGAACATTCTTAACTTCAAGGATACAAGTACAAGTACAAGTACAACAACAGAGAACAAAACCTAAACTGTGAACTAAAAAGCATTGGTTCTTTATATAGACTCACAACAACATAGGATGCATTGGTGAAACCCTCTTAGATGTCTCCCCACATCTCCTCCCCAAACAGAAACATTTGTCTTTGCGCTCGAATTCTGTAGCGAGGGAACCCATCTACACATTCAAATATGATTCTATCTCCAGCCCTCAGCCCCTTGTCACGTACATAGTTGCGCCACCCTGTTCTAAAAACTGGCCTCCGGTTGGCATCCCTCCGGGTATAGTATCCAAAAGTCCGCTGCACTCCAGATGCATCTACTGTCACGTTTACAGAGTGGCCTCCATCGTTAGCTGGCAAATTGTTCATGAAATGAGTTGGGATCACCAACATTTCATTGATGTCGGTTTCTGTGAGCACCTTCTCAAATGATGCCATTGCTACCACTCTATTTAGATTTCTCTCGGTTGCTTTTCATTGCTAAATCAAACCCCCTGTGTGGTTATTTATAATGTTGCTACATTAAGTTCTCAATATGGTCGCGCGAAAACAAGAGCATCATCCTTTTGGTAGCAAGAAAAGAAACCCAAGTGCTTGTAGATAATCTTGCAATCTCCCACGTTCTCTCTAGTCTAGAAATTTTTCTCCAAGTAACTAGCAAGTATGGGGCGAAAGCTGTGTCAATACGCGCGACAGTTAAATTTTTTTTTAACAACTAGCTGCAGAATCGCTCGTAGAGAAATTCCGAAGATGTGTATGAGTTTTCTGTCATAATCTATTTAGGATAAGGAGCTAAGTTTTCACTCATTAGAAGTTTCCATGAAAATTTGAAAAGTTATTTATGTTCACAGAAAAGCAGAGTGTAATAGGTTTGAGTCAATGTGGGTCCCCAACTCACTAAATCTTCGCCTTTGATTCCAGTATAATACGACATTTGCTAGATCATCATGAGTTCGTAAGTAAGAAATGATATGAACCCAAAAAAAAAAAGAATGTGATTGATTAATAACATTATGTAGTGTTGGTGATCTTCAGTCTCAAAAAGTTGTTAGTTTACTGTCGAGTAAACGCGCGAGCTGCGCGAGCTCTGCC